TGCAAGCGTTCTCTTCAAAGATCTACAAGGTTAATTATCTCTTGGAGGACAGACAGGCCTTCATTACCCCATGTTGACTTCAGAGAGCAAAGCTCGGCCAGAGGTCACAGAAAGGTGACTTTAGTTGTGCTAGTATGCAAAGATGGGACACTCAGTTCCCTGTCTCCTCAGGACAGTTATGACGGGTAACACTGCTAGGTGCTCATCATGTGTCACTAAGACCTTAATTTGACTTAGTTAGAAAATTGTAAGCCACATTCATACTTGTTATGACACATGTCTCATAGCTTCATTCATCAAGATTGCATTTGCTAAGTGGTTATTAAATCACCTCACATGATAGTTGCCCTTTTGACTGATGCTATATCATTGCTATTTTACAGATGAGGAAATAGAGAAATTCAGTTACTTTCTTCAAGTCACCGTGCTTTAGACCGCTGCCTTATAACCATGTGGACCCAGGTATTCTCATCACTAATACTGCCTCCCAGTGACTGTGTATTTAGTTACAGGTTCATCAGGGCTGCTCAGTAGAAATATAAAGTAAGCCACTAGGGGAAGGCATGTGTTATTTCTAATTTTCTTGTAGTCACATTAAGAAATGTAACATGAAACCAGTAAGATTAATTTTAAAGGGTTGAAAAGCAAGGATGTTATTTTGAGAACTAAGGAGCACCTGCCTCAAGTCATGGTGTTTTTCAATTGTCTTATATGTATGTGAAAGTTCCACATTCAATAAGGAAGACTAAAGAAGAATGCATGCATTTAAATTGTGGTGCTGGAGAGCAATATTGATGGTACCATCCTGTGCTAGGTTTTTTGTTTTGTTTTGTTTTGGGGTTTTTTGTGTGCCCACATGGCACCCATAAGAAGATATGGGGGGAATCTAGCCTGTCAATCAGATCATAGCCTGATGGAGCCTCCTTGTGGGTGTGACCACCTCATAAGGAGGGTCCTGGGAACTTCTCCCCCTCTCTCTGCTTCACCGTCCTGCCGCTGAGCCACTCAGAGATCTGCTAGAGACCCTAGGGAACCTTGGAGATGTGTCCACTGCCATTGGATCCACAAGACTTTGCACCCACCAGCCTGTAATCTTCCTGCATTTTACATCATTGCTTGTGGCTGTGTGAGTCTGAAGGGAGATTTCTGGAGTAGTATAGACTTATTGACTTGATTTGAACCGGGCTGGGATGTTTTCTTGATATCAATTACTCCTTCATATAAAGATCTTTCTTACACATATATGAGTGTCCCTGGTTTTGTCAACCCACATACACTGCTAAAAGGATGAAACAATCTGTAATGGAAGAATTAAGGCCAGAGTGCTCCCGAGAGACCAGTCCCTGGAGAAGGACAACATGCTTGGTAGAATAAAGAGATAGCAGAGAACAGGGAGGCACTCAACAAGATATATTGATGCAGTGGCTGCAACAGTGGGCTCAAGAATATGAACAGTTCTGCTGATGGTGCTCGACCGGGTAGTGTGTCATTCTGTTGTGCATGGGGTCGCTATGGGTTATAGCCTAATAACAATATACACATAAATGTAGCAGTTAGAGCACACACATACACACACACACACACACACACACAGAAGTTAAGAAAAAAAAGTATTGTTTCTAGGGCTCCAGTCCATGCATGAACAGATTTATTGCAAACAAAACATGCTTAAGCATATCTCTGTGATTAGTAGATGGCTTCAGCCCAGTTCTCTCAGATATACAGTTGTCTTAGTTGTTAGACTGTGTGTTAGACCGGGTTGACTAGAGAAACAAATCCAGAGACACTCACATATGTATAAGAAAGAGCTTTATATCAAGGAGTAATTGTATATGAAAAAATGTCCAAGCCCAGTCTCAGAACAAGTCAATCATCTAATATTAGCCCATAAGTCCAATACTAGTCCATAGCTCCCTCTTCAGACGCACAGCCACGTGTAATGAAGCAGAATGCAGGAAGATCACAGGCCGGTGAGTGAAAAATCTTGTGGGTAAAGTGTCAGTGGAAGCATCTCGGCACTGGCACGGGTCTCAATGTGGCTACCCCAGTTTTCTGAGTGTGGGTGTTCGACTAGAAGGTGAACCTTGGCTTGTTCACAGGAAAACTGAGACAGAGAGAGAGGAAGTTCCCAGAATCCTCATGAGAAGGCCACGCTTGCAAGGAGGCATCATCAGGCTGTGATCTGATTGAGAGGCTAGACTCCACCCCTTCACTCTTAATACCCTCAAGTTGACAGGAGATTATGTAGCTACCACAGAGTATTATTTTTAAAACCCTACAAAAATGAATAAGCATGATTTTTAGGTCAGGATTGGTGCAAAATTTTAATACAACTGAAATGGGCATCTTCCCAAATCACTGACTCTTTGCAGTAAGTTTATGGGAATGGTATCCCACAAATTTTTAAAAAAAGGAATTTTAATGGACCCTGAGTTTTAAGGAAGGTTGATAAAGCCTTATAGACAAATTCCAGGCAGTGGCCAGCTTAGATGGTTTTGGTAACCTTTATTGGGACTTCAAAGGATAATGTTGATAATTTTCCTGGAAGGACACAGGATGACTATGGAGATTTATAGTGAAGAAAATGTTAAGAATCCTGAAAACTGCATTGGAAAGTTGGAGCAAGCAATTATATTCCCTTATGACAATGCAGTTGCTTATTCTTTAAAGGTAGTAAGGGCTGTCCTATGAGAATTTTGTTTGGAAACTGTATTCATCCACCCTATGGCCCCAATCCTGCCTCTTCAGAAATGTGTTTTGTTCTCTAAACTCAAAGGACATTTAACAAGAACGGGATTGATGTCCCATGAAGATGCCAAAATTGCTTTTAAAAAAGTTTTTTTAAATTTATAAATCTAAGGGCACAAGATTCTTCAGGGAAAGCTTAGGGAAATGGAAATACTACCTTCAGAAGTATCTTGACCTTGATGTTAGATCCCTCAAGAAACAATGGCTTCACATTGTAATATTTTTTGTTTACTGAAAGTGTCCATGATTTTGGAACAATATATTTTGGCTTATCCTCATATATGCGAATGAGACTGAAAAATCATGGAAAACCGAAATTGCAAAATAACTTAAAATTTCCGTGAACAGTTTGAAGTGTTCTAGTGCATATGTCACCTTGTAGCAACTCTATACGACAGAGTAGAACTGGCCCTGTGGGTTCCAGAGGCTGTAACTATTTATGGAGAGCCTCACCTTTCTCCTGAGGGGCTGGGGTTATGGACTGCGATCTGATGGAGAACAGCTCAACACCTAATAGCAGTGAGTTTTGTTTTAATTTAGTTTCGTTGTATTTTTTGGTGTGTATGTGTACCTTCATATTTGTACATATTTGTATATATCCAGGGTGGCTCAAATGATTGCGTTACTAGTTGGTAATTCTACCAGTGACACCCTTTGTTCCCCGGTGCCTTGGAAAATGGGCCTCGGGATCTGCTTCCTAAATGGTCACAGCATGGAATACCCTATGGAGTCTTTCTCCTCTAGACAAAAGGCCACAATGAATTGGAATCTTTGGGGCAGCAAAGAACAACATATAACTGTTTACATATTAACCCCCTCAAAGCCAGTCTCGGGTTGCTTCTGCCTGCCCATAGGATTGCCATGACAGTAAACTTGACTGAAAGAGACCACCACATTGTTCTCCCGTGGACCTGCTGCTAGCAGCCCATAGCTCAGTTTAACAACTGTACCGATAGGCCTCTGCTATATAAACTAACACACCCACAACATTATCATTTCAAAACACAATCAATAAAAAAATTTTAATGAGCTATTGACATGTGATTTTTCCATACTAAATCCTGCGTATGGTTTACCCTTTTACAGCACCTCTCAGTGTCTCAAGGGTTCTCAGTCGCGCAGAACAAGGTAGCATATTAAGGCTCCTGGGAGCTGTTTTCCACTTTAGATTCTGAAACCTTTCTGGCCCCAACTTGTCTGCGTTGCCAGTTCCAAACCAAATTCACTGCCTTCGAGGCGAACCTGACTCACAGTGACCATATAGGACAGAGTAGAACTGCCCCTTTGGGTTTCCAAGACTTGAATCTTCAGTAGATTACCTCATCCTTCTGCCCTGGAGCAGGTGGTGAGTTTGAACCGCTGACCTAGTGGTTAGCAGTTCAGAGTGTAACCCACTATGCCATCCGAGTTCCATCTTTGCCACTCACGGAGAATAGCAACTGCTTCACCTTTCCTTCAGGAGAGTCCGTTGGATGTTTCTGAATTCTGAGAGGACAGTCACTTCTCCTGTACCCTTCTGATAGCTGTCATTGCCCTCCGGGTACTTGATTGCTACTTTAAACAGGATTTAATTAAATAGTGAAACGTAAATACCTCATTGGGGTAGAACGTCTTGGTCTCACGTAAAGCTATGCAAAACTAGGGACTCGTGGCGTAATTGATTAGAAATAAATCTTGTAGTTTCCATTACAGGGCCAGTGCGTGCGGGTCACCGGGGAGAAGGGCTTTATTACTATTATTTGCTTCGTGCTCCAGGGTGAGAGGCATAAGGGTCCATCCAGCCACCTCAGCTCCCAGTGGACTAGCTTTCCCGCAGCCCACCGAAGTTTCCCCTCAAATTCCAAAACCAAGTGCCCCAAACGAACACGTCAAAGGAGGCCGCGCACCCTGGACCTCCCGGAGGGGGCGCTCTAAGGGTGACGGAGTTAATGCGTGCCTGCAAAAAACGCGGTGGCTGAGCTCATCGGAGAGTCACACTCTGCACACACCTTATTTATAGCAAATCCGAGGTAGGCACGGTGGTTGACATTTTCTGCTTTTTCAGTCGAAGGACTTCCCAAAAAAGAAAAGAAAGTCGTGGGCGCCTGCCCGAGAAAAGTGCCGTGGGCAGGCACCGGGGCGCAGCAGGCGGGAGGCGAACGCGCCAACCACGCGTCCCCGGGCGCAGGTGCCCGTGGCGGCGGTGGCTGCGATCCGCAGCAGCGTCCGCTCGGAAAGAGAGTTCGCCGCCGCGCTGGGGATGCCTGGCAGCTGCAAACCAAGTCTGCGGCCAGCAGGAGGAAGGAAGAGGAAGTGAGAGCAGCGGCGGCCGGCGGCGCAGCAGCCGCGACCCGGAGTGGAAGTGCGTGTGCTCCAGTGAGCGAGAGCGGCTGAGGATGGGCTCCCGAGAGCGGTAGAGCCACCCCCACGCCGTGGCCCCGAGCTTGGTGACACAGCTCCGGCTCCCCTCCGTGGTCGCGAGTCGCCGGGGCGCTGATCTCTGGGAGCCTTCGCCGCCACCGCCGTTGGTCCTGCGACCCCGGGCAGGTTCGTAAAGTTTCCTGGGCTGGCGCCGCGCCCCGCTTCGCCCACCTCCGCGCGGCCGGGGAAGGGGCTGGGACCCGGGCAGGGAGGCGGCAGCCCACTCTGGGGACTCCGGGGCGCCGCCGAGTCACTTTTGTTTCCTCTCCGGGGGC